ACTCTTGGATGATTATTTTGTTCCTAATAGTGCATTCCCTGATACGTACTTTAGACGTCGTTTTAGAATGGAACGACATTTGTTCAACAAAATCATGATTGCTGTTTGCAACCATGATTCTTATTTTGTGCAAAAAAAAGATGCTTTTGGTGCTATGGGTCTACTGCCGGAGCAAAAAATTACTGCTGCCTTGCGGATGCTTGCATATGGAGCATCTGCAGACCAAGTGGATGAGATAACGAGGATGGGGCAATCAACCATTCTTGAGTCCCTGATGAGGTTTTGCGGAGCAATCGAATCTATCTACACCGCTGAGTACCTCCGCAAACCCACACACATGGACTTGGAGCGGCTGTTGAAGAAGGCGGAGATGCGTGGCTTTCCTGGGATGATTGGAAGCATTGATTGTATGCACTGGACGTGGAAAAACTGTCCAAGTGCATGGCAAGGTGCTTACGGGGACAGAAAAGGGGCAAAAAGTATCATTCTGGAGGCGGTGGCATCTTTTGATACATGGATTTGGCACGCCTTTTTCGGGGTCCCGGGAGCTCAAAATGACATCAACGTCCTTGCCCAATCCCCAGTGTTCAACGATGTCCTGCAAGGAAAGGCACCAAAAGTTACATATGAGGTCAACGGACGTATGTACGACGGGCCATACTACCTAGCTGACGGCATCTACCCGCGCTGGTCAACATTTGTCAAAACAGTGCCAGGTCCGCGGAGTGCGAAGGAAAAACACTTTGCAAGCTGTCAAGAGGGGTGCAGGAAGGATGTGGAGCGTTGTTTTGGTATCCTCCAAGCTCGCTGGGCGATCGTCAGGGGTGCGGCCAGATTGTTTGATGTAGAGTCGCTTCGATCCATCATGATGACGTGCATCATTCTTCACAACATGATTGTGGAAGATGAGTACGATTATGAAGCTGTTGATGAATATGAGCCAGACCCGATGAACAATTCAAGAACACGTATATATTGTGCTCATGACGCCACCGATGACCCCGTGCAACATGAGCCATTACAAAGGGATGGACGTTACAATGAAAGGCTCATTCAACGATATACTGCATTTCAAATGCCAGACATGCACAATGCCCGACAAATTGACTTGATAGAGCACCAGTGGGCATTGAAACAAGTTGAGGATAATTAAGTTCATTTTAGTGTGTTTATGTTTATGTTATTTTATTTGGTATGTTTATGTTATTTTATTTGGTGTGTTTTATTATTTGGTATGTTTATGTAATTCTTAGTATATGTAATTCTTAGTATGTTTATGTAATTTTTTTATGTTTATGTTTATGTAATTCTTAGTATACGTAATCTATGTTTTTTTAATGGACTTTTAACAACATAAATAACTTACCAAATTAAATAACTTACCAAATTAATTCTTAATATAAATAACTTACCAAATTAAATAACTTACCAAATTAATTCTTAATATAAATAACTTACCAAATTAATTTGAATAAATATTCATGAACATGGAAACAACATAAATAATAAATTACAACCCAAAGTGATTGGAAAATTATGGGCTCCGATTACAAAAAGTACTCTATTCATCATCACTTAACCAATTTGTGCTGCTAGGATGATCTTCTCTTGCGGTGCTAGAACCACCTTGGCTTGCTATTGTTTCTCTTGCACGCCTCCTTCGCACCACGGCCGCTTTCTCTGACTTCCAAAAAAATTTAGAATTTGGAGACTTCCCTTCTAAAGACATGTTCATAATCTCACGATCTTGTTGAGCTCGTCTTTCTTCTCTAACATGTTCCCTTTCTTGCCTAAGTAGCTCTCTTTCTCTCTCATTAGCATAAAATTCTCTCTCAACAGCTGCTGCTTTTGATGCCTTATCAGCCTTATCAGCCTCATCTTTCGCCAGTTCCCTCGCCAAAGTCAATTCACCTTGGCGAGTAAGTTCTTCCATGAACTTTGCATAATCGTTCTTGGAAGCACTCCCTTTTCTCTTTGTAGCCTTCTTACCTTGAGGCCTAATTGGAAAACGGGTCGAACCCGACGCTTGTTCAGGGAGGGGCGTTTCGGGCACTTCTTCTGCATCATCTTCATGAACATGATCGGGTGTAGAGTGTAGAGGGGTGCTGTTCATGTGCACTTCTGGACCAACTGGCACAACTCTAAATTTAGGACAATCTTTGACAATATTCCAACATTCCCACCGGTTGAATGATTTATTTTTGCCTTTGGTTTTGGCAGCATACCAAGCTTGTGCTTGAAGTTCCTACACAATAAAAATAAGTAACAAATAAATAATACAAATAAATAATTATAATGAAAATAAGTAACTAGCAAATATATACATATATATATATATAAGTAACAAAGATAATGAAAATAAGTAACAAAGCAAATAAGAAGGCTTCAAGTTTAGTAAATAATGAAAATAATTAACAAATATATATATATATATATATATATATAATACAAACAACATAATTATAATGTAACAAATAAATGTAACAAATAAGTAACAATAACATAATTATAATGTAACAAACAACATAATTATAATGTAACAAATAAGTAACAATAAATAATAAATTTTGTACGTAACAAATAAAGAATACAAACAATAAATAATAATATCTTGTTACCATATCCGAGTAATTTTCCCCACTTCGAATATTATTACTAGCTTGTGCCAAAGCGTCTCTCCACGTACTAAACGATTGGCTAAGTAATTTCCAACGACTGGACATCGATTCTTTGGTTCTTTTCCCACCAATTTTCTCAAGATAATTGGTATGAATAAGACTCCACATTTCTCTTAACTGCATCTCATTACCCGTAAGCGAACTATGAGTAACTTCAACCCAGCTAGTACACAACGCAACATCTTCAATAAGCGACCAATTCGTACCTGCACCAGTGGTCATTTTGTTGAAAAAAAATTGATTCAAACTTTGAGACAAAGAAAGGAATGTGATTGAAAGTGGTTGAGAAAATATGAAATTGTTGTGAAGGTAGATGATAATGAGAAGGTATTTATAGAAAAGTAAAAACAATTTTTTTTACAATTTTTTTCAGATTTTTTTTTGAATTTTTTTGAATTTTTGACATTTTTTTTTGAATTTTTATTCAATTAATTAATCTCTGCCGTTGGATATAAAAAAATTTGAATTCCAACGCTCCAGATTGTGCCACGTGTCACAACGGTAACTTTTCAGATTTTTAAAACTATTTTTTCATTTATTTTTTAATTTTTAAAGCATTTTAATATCCACCATTGATCTCAGATCGAACGGTGGATATTAAATCTGCCAGTTTGAAAATTTTTTACCGTTGAGATCTAACGGTCCACATTAAGTGACCGTTACGATCTAACGTACCGTGGGAAGCCACGTGGCTTCCCAACGGTAACAGACAAACCTTTTTTTTTTTCTGATTAATGTGTCAGGACGCGCCCCCACGCGCGGGTGGGGTGCACGCGCCTGACACAAAAAAAATAAAATAATATGCTGACGCCACCCTGGCGTCAGCATGACGTCACTCCCACCCCGGGCTCAAGGCCTGTCGATTCCTCACGGGCCTGGCCCTCGGGCCTCCCCCGTCCCCCGGCCTGCGTCACGCTGGACGCCTTCCACCGGCCCTCGGGCCTTTGTTCTGGAGCCGGTCCCCCGAGCAAATTGCAACGGTGGGATAGCTCTAACGTTTAAAATTATCAGATTTTTGAGCTTCTATTAGAATATTCTTGAATAAACATGTTTGTTGGACATTGTTGACCTTTTATTTTTTTTCAACATTATTGACCTTCGACTCCACATATAATAAGCAAGGACTCCATTTTTAAGTAAAAGGGTTAGCTTAAAAATGGTATTATGGATAAGAACAAACTTTAAGCTAAGCCCTCACTGTCCATGTAGGTCCATTCGAGCAATTTTCTTATACTTAAAATAACCTAATAGTTTATGAATTGCAACATGCTATTGTTTAGTTAAGGCTGAAAATACAGGTTGAGTTAGTGAAAACAGTGTAGCCGCTCTCTTAAAGTCAAGTTCGAATTTCGCTTTCCGTGACTTAAAGAGTATATTAGATGAGCAAAACCTTAAGGCATGGGGGAGGGTTGGGAGTAGGGACCCATAAGGTTCGAACTCTTTCCACCTCGTAGAGGACATACAATCCATCTGTGGTAACTGGCCATGTGACCAGTCTCCTTTGTCACTCTTTAGGGTGGATGATTAAGATGCAGAGACTTGCCCACAACGACCACAATGGTGATAAACCACTCATTGTGCATATATATGGGACCAACTTGACCCACTTGGACTTGGTATGTTGCTGGATCAGTGTTCAACATTGGTGTGTGACATTAGAATACTCGATGGGTACACGGAGCTACTTCAACATAGACAAGGTATCCTAAACCTATCAAGCGTTGTTGACATTTTTAGCGAGTTCACTTAACATCGCATGATTGGTTTAGGATAATGGCACTTAAGCATCCTGGTTTCATCTTAAGCCGTCCTGATTGATGATGAGATCATAGGTAAGGGTATAGACATAAAGCTTATCCCATCACAAATTGCCATGTAATTTAGGTATGTTGGTTTGTGATACCGTCACAATGACATGTGATCGAAGTTATGTTTGCTTGTGGACCCACAACTAAGCAATCATCATATCACCAGCTTCATGTAAAAGGAAATTATAAAGGGACCGACTTATGAGGAATCGTTTGTATCCTATGGTTTGCCGGTACCCAGTTCAAGATGCTTTCCTTTCATTGAAAATGGTCAAGAAAAAAAAAGGGGAGATAACGTAATCCTCAAGGCCCATTCCTTGAGAGTTGGAGAGTAAAGACGTTTTTTCCGGTAACCCTAATCGTCTTCAACGACCCTTCACATAAAATGAAAACGATTAGGGTTACCGAAAAATTCAGGTGAACATGTACATCATAGACAAACAGTTGTAGCTCTCTAGACGAGCATATCTTAAAGACGTCATATCGATAACAAAACCAGTAAAACGCAAGTCACTCTCGCAACACTCTTCGACTCAATGCTTAATTACTTAGTCATCCGTCCTTGGGAAACAATCGACAAATGACAAAAACAGTTCCCAAGTCTTCCCAATTCAAGCCATGCCTGGCAACATTTCATTCTTTACACACAGAAAAGAATACTTGTACATACGACGGTATGAACAATTGCAGGAATGAAGGTGAGCCATCTGAATACCGTTTGTCTAACTATCGAAGATCAATAACGTCAAACTTTAGATTGGGGTTCATATAAACATCTGCACAGGTCTTGTAAATGGGTCCACCATCAGGTGGCTGATCATGTGGATGAAAACCACGGTGCTGGCACTGTCTAATGACCGACATGCCACCTGGGTTTGTCAATCGGAAAATGCCATGGGTTCTGTACATGTGAAAAAACAAAAGCTAATGTACCAAAAATAATGTACGGCAAGCAAAAATCATTCCTACGGTCACACCACCAATAATGCAAGACATTCAAGGAGATGTGATCGATCTTTTACCTTGAGCCACCTTGTGGTGCCATGACAATTGCAACAGCTTCCGGCAACATAATCTGAACACGGAATAAGCATTTGTGTAAACCGCGGTTTTATAATTTGGTACATTAACATCTTAGCTTCTGTTTATCAAAATAAACTCACATCCTCTAAGCACTTAAAAGTGGTTTCCAATTGACACAAAGAAAGCTATGCGTAGATGATAAAAGGCATTCACCTGATATGAATAATGGGTATGGAGATCAATCGACGACATGAAACAGGACTGTGTAGGATGCGTCTGAAAATTGTGCCATAATGAACAATTGAATGGTCAGCATAATGATTGGAAATAAAGAAAATCCCGGGGTAAACTTTTAACATATATAGATTAGGCATTGAAACAGATGCAACTACAGACATGCTTTTTAGCATATTACATTTAAATATTATTATCCTTTAAATGAAACCAAAAGCTACAGAAGTGTAACTCTTTTTGCAAAATCACAACCAAATCAAATATGAAACTAGCTTTCATCCATGAATCAGAGGAAGATCAAAGCATGATGTTTTGATCAGTGATTGAAGCACAAATTACTCACATGTATCCAGCCAAGAGGAAAGAGAGATTGTTTATCCTGAACTTCAAATATTTCCTCTTCATTCGTGGCCTGACACTGTTAAAAAAAAATGTATATTGGACAAGAGTTATATCACCAGGCCAAGTATACTGATATATGTGAGGCCAAAACATGAAATAGTACAAAAGGCACAAAACTGCCATACCGAATTTGCAGTTGACTCCTGTTTAGGTATGATGAGAGCCGTAACATAGAACTTTCTGTTTTTCTGACAAATGGAAATTTAAAACATTATCATCTTAAGAAGTCAAAGACTTTGAACAGTAAATTAGTTATGCAGTCTTACTAGTGAGCCTCCTAGGATGCCACATGTCTCCAAGCTCTTATCAGTATTTGACTTAGCCAGCTTCATGAAATGCTCCATCATTGTCGTTGACTGCAAAGAGAAACAAATTATTAGGTAAAGGGAGCACCTACAGATTCTTGTCAATGTGATTGATTTTCCGCGTACATGACCGAATAATTATCAAAAGTTTTTATCATCAGAAAGATCTTGCATTTAAAAGTTTCTAGTTTCTGTTCCTGACAAACAGCTGAATGCCCAAAAAGGAAGAAAATACAGTAAACATTAAAGAACTTGTCATGAATCTTACAATGTGTAATTGCAAGGGAGATTCAGCACGAAGAAGTTCATCCGATGAGAGAGTCTCTAGTCCACATTCTACCTCAGACACTTGAGGTGAAACTGCTGGAATCAAGTCTTGTACTTCTGCAAGAACAGGAGGAGGAGAAGGCTGTCTGATAAGTTTTGTATGATCAGGAGTTTCTGTTGAATCGAAAGAAATGAGGGAGCAAAGTTCCTCTGTAAAATCCTTCTGGCCACCATCAGTAGTCTGGGTAAGAATTGGTTCCAAACTTGACCTTTCAGGTTCCAAGTCGCTAGCATCCTTTATATCTGTCTTTTCGTCTTTTTTACTTGTATGTTCATCTTCTATGGACTGTCCCATGCTGTTTGCCCTGAAAACTTATCAGATGCATATATAAAGCTACAAACTCTTACGAAACAGAAGTAAATATATCATGGAATGAGAACTGCCTGGATTGTTTAGTATCAGGACCAAAAAAGAACTTCAGAAAGTTGACCAGGAGACATACCTTGGGATTTCAACAGGAGTCAAGTCTAATATACTTGGATAGCGAACCTGCAATTTAAGAGAAAAGTGAACATTTTTTTTTTTCTACTTTGAACCAAAAACAATAGTCAGATACCATCATACCCCTATATCACTTCTAGGTGGCTGCCACTGTCCACTAAGGCCATTTGGGCCCAATATAGAATGTCTGGAAAGAGTTTCCTCATTTGGACGTGGTACTATGGATCTACAAAAAGCAAACAAGCAAGGGCAATCAAGACCAGGAGCTTTTCATAATACCAAACTTAACTCATTTTCTCACTGTCCCATACAGTATGTGTGTGGTAAATATGCAACAAGTTTCGAAACAGAAAGCAGAAACAAAAAGAAGGTTCAAACACAATGACATATTAGCAAACTTCACATGCAGAATAATCTTTCCCTCAGACAAGATGGCTCTCAAAATAAATTTTTTTGTTCTGATAAATATGCAGCTAGAAATGGTTTTTTAAAATCCACGTGTACATAAAAGGGTGGAAGCAGTGTATGTATAATACTATAATTATCTCAATTCAAGAAATCCTCGAATTACCCTCTCATGGAAGTAAACTAGAGTTTGTGCGTAAAGCATGTAGGGCATATTCTTAGTTTTTTTTAGTAAGAATATATAGGAGACACCTTTGTAAAGTAAATAAATACTTACAGTTTGCGAAATTGATCCTCCAAAGGCTTGGCATAGGAAAATTGTTGAGACCTCGGAGGCTGATAGACAAGTTCTCTTGCAGCTGATCTTGCCACCTGTCATACATAGAATAGCATAAGGAAAAATTGTTTCAACAGTACACATATAATAGTGGCAGTCGGAAAATGAAAGAAGAAGCAAAGTATAAGGAAAAAATGACAATGGCAGGCAACAAGGTCAAAGAACGAAAATTGAGATCAGTAGTTTCCACTTTTTTCATATGATACGTCTAATGTCCGTTAGCATGACAACGCAGTAAGCACTAACTGTACCTTGGTTGCATCATAGCTAATCAACGATTGCTTCTTGAGAGGAGAAACCACAAAATCAATCTGGTTATTATGGCTCCACCCGTTGTTAAATTTTCCGTTTATCCTGTTAAATTCATTGTTCTTATGTATCGCAGCTGGCTTAAGCTTCTGTTTCACTGCTGGCTTGAGTTCCTCGAGTTCATTCAGAGCATCAAACAATTTCTAGAGCAAAAATCAAAAATTATATTGTGCACAAAAACAGAATAATAAAAATAACTTTTATTATGAATTAAAGATGAAATGACAACATTACCGTTTTCAAGAAACCCTTCTCTCCTTGAACAGATGCTCTATAGTCACGATGACACGGTATTGTCTCAGAGACCAAACTGACGTAGAAAACCAAAAAGTTTCACCATTACTTTTAAACATTTTTGCATATCTCCACACACACATTCTGTGTATACTTTTGACCTACTTCATATAACCTAGCTGACTGTATAATTAATTGACTGGTGCTTACGTACGTACCTTGAAAACCTTAGTAGCATAATATATAGGTCTATAATATTCTTCTCTTGTCGGAAAATGTCAGCCTACAATTGAACAATTTTTTTATGAGCTGAAACGACATTCTAAAACAAAAACAAGAAACTAAACTAGGGGGAAAATACATGTTAATCATTTTCTAGTAATATAAAAGAGGCAAAGATGTTAAAGGAACAACTAAACATCAATATCACAATCTATTACGAAAAAGTAACTGCAAAATTTAGCGAAAAATACACTTCAATATACATTGTAGCGGCAATGGATATGGCACGTAAGGAGGACATCTGTTATGTTATCAGAATATGAATGCACAAGATAAGATGCATTGGCACCAGAATAGCAAGCTCTATATAATTAAGCTGAAGTTATCACATCCCTTTAGCTGCAATTCACGACGCAACTGATGCATTCCTATAATTTGAGTGAGTCAAACACCGAACAATAACAACAGCAGCAAAGCCTTTTCCCACTAAGTGGGGCCAGCTGTACGAGTCCTAGGACGCCACTGTGCCCGGTTTTTTGTGTTATACATGGAAACTGTCTAAAATATTGCTTTTGCTTTACTGCATTCGATTTATTTATGTAGTTATTTCCTACTTGAATGATAATGATGATCCCTACAAGTGATCAAATTCGTTGTGTTTGTTCTTCTTCTGTTAATCGCACTGATCCTTCGGGTCCTATCAACCACAAGCTACCAATTTGAATTCTTGAAATCCTTAGTAAACCCTAATGATCTATACAAGATATTTCAGCTTCTGAAACTCAAATTACCAATAATTCTATCTAAATAATCCATATAAAAAGGCGCGCTCATACAGAGCACCAACAATCAAAATTCCACTTCCAAAATAAGCTAATTAACAAATAAATTCAAAATTCCCAGCATAAATTCAAAATTAATGAAAATTTAATTGACAAAATTGCTGAAAAATTAAGGAGAAGGAGAGAGTGAAGTGAAACCTGCTTGAGGACATTATTGGCGATCCGAAAGTAGATACGCAGAGGAATCCGATTGTCGACATCGAGTCGCTGGGCACTCGCGGCAACGTTAATCCTATCGGAGGAAGACGACGACCTCATCTTCTAATTTTACCAATTTTTTCTTTCTTTCTACACATGCAACATCCTCTGCGATCGAGGGTTTACTCGCTCCGATGCCTGCTTCTGAGTTCTGAGCATGGAAGCCCGGGGCAAGGTCGGCAACGGCGGCTTCGTAACCAGAGAAAAGAGAGGTTGGAAAAACCGAGAAAGGGTGCGTACAAGGAGGTAATTTTAACTCTTTCGCGGGGGTAAATTGGGAAACATGAAAAAAATTGAGGGAATTGAATTACAAGCCAACTATTGAGGCTCATATACTAATCCGTAATAAAATTACGCGAAAATGTATCGAAGAAGAATTGTATTCATTATAAAACAGAATTAGATTTTATGTTAAAATTGTTTACTAATCCATTTAGAATCATAATAAGAATGACGTAGTTCCATATGAGTTGCTTTAAGAAAGGAATTAATGAACTTAATTATCAAATTACTCTAATAATAGAATTTTCTTTAGAGAGCTGCTAGACTCATCCCGTTATCTTATTTTCCCATCCATGTTATATTTACACCCATTATAAAAAGTTAAAAAAATTAAAATGTTATTTTCCCACCCACTATTGTTCCAAAAATAACCCTATATATAATTAGAGATAAATATCTCTTAAGAAAAGAATATAAACAAATAATATTACTCTCTTCTAAAAGCCAGAAATAAAATAAAATAAAATAAACCGAGGTCTTCTAATCTTCGTCCTACATGTTTGGTCAGGATTGAAAATGGAGAAGCTTACTCAAGTCCGAACCCATGTTTTAACTTCTTTCAGCAGTTTACTTTGTCTTGCAATATGTTTATCTTTAAAAGTCGATTTGCACTTGGTATGATCAGGATGATCTTTTTACGTCATAAAAGAACCATATTTTTTTTATTTCAATTACAGGTCAATGCCTTTTTGTATTGTCATATACACATTAAAAAAACAAATTTACTGTATGACAGCAGTATGCAACAATTGAAGGTTAATTCGGCTTCAATTCTAACTTAAAGGGAGAGAGAGGTGGTGCTTGTGGTAAGTACGGGCTAATGAAAAATCAACCACGCTTACCGCTGTTTAGGTTTTCAATTCTAAATCAACCACGCCTACAGCAGTATGCAACAAATTTACCCTTACCTAATGAACGATGTCGGCATAGCTATGCTTCAATTCCAGAAATTCTCATTAAAAATCAAATTGCACCCTAATCTAATGCAAATTCAAATAAAAAGTCACAGAGCTATGCTTCAATTGTACGATGTCGGCAAATCAAGATGACCCACATAAAATTATCTTTTATGTCTTCGACGGAAACATAATCATCTACTTCTTCCATAAGAACGTCATCTTCTAAGTTCATTCTTTTTGCTTTATCTGAATAATTTTGCTCTCTGAATGAAAGGAGATGGGAAGGATGAGTTAGGGTTTAAGGGAGACAAATTTTCTAAGCGTGAGAGTTATCACATCCAAACTTTTCTTTTTTCTTTTTTATAAAAAAAAATAGTAATGTAAAAGGGATAACTAAGGTCCTTATTAGTTATTTTACAAATAGACAAATTTGTAATTAAAAAATTCATTAAAATGTGGGTGGGAAGATAAGACATTGGGGTGGGAATAACAGCTCTCTTTTCTTTATCAATTAAAAGAGAGTAAAAAGACTATTTAGTCTTCTATCACAATAAAAAAAAATTAAGGGCAGTAACGTAATTCGACAGAACAAAATTTTGCAAAAATCAAAAAAACAAAAAAAAAAGAGTGAAAAGACTATTTCTTTGATTGATAGTTTAAAAATAATAAATTCTGTATTCAATTCCATTATTATTTTAGGTTAACCAAACAAGAAAATTCACAAATTTTAGAAAATAAAATCTCATCATTTCAATTTCCGTCATTTTAATATTTTTTAATAATCTTAAATTTATTCGTCCAAACATAGTGTAAGAGTATTTTTATTAGAAATGTGTTAAAAATTTAGGGTCTGTTTGATATTCAACTTGAGGCGTAATTCAAAATTTTGTTTTTTTTTTTCCTAAAAACATGCGTTTTGATTTAAAAATTTTAAATTCAAAACCTTGTTTAACATGCAACTTCTTAACCAACAAGATCCTCTCTGGACCCTCATCGTACATCGTACGGTCAGATTTTATCAAGTACTGTTTATGTTTATTTTTAAATAAAAATATTTAAAATGATTTCTGACTGCACGATGTACGATAAAAGGACACGATTTACGGATTCTAAGGATCCTCACAAAGAGAATCCGATGAGAATTCAGACTCATTTCTCAAAACTAATTCAAAACAGGAAAAAATCAAACGCCCAGGGCAAACCAATTTCCCAACCACCGCAGCCGTCCCTGGCGACCCCTTTTGCTATTTATCGACTCCTTCCTCCAAACTCGCTTTGACAGACCAAGGCTGGTCATGTCGGCAATCTCAAATTTGAGATCCATTTACCCCCAAAACCAATGACTATTCGTTGTTGTCGATTTATCTCGGTTGGAGGAAAAAGGATTGAGGTGGTGACTATGGCGGATGCAAGTGGGAAGAGATTGAAGAGGCAATAGAGAAGAGAGCATCAAGAGAGAGAGAGAGAGAGAGAGAGAGAGAGAGAGAGAGAGAGGGGAGTCAATGGTAGGGGGTGGGTGGTGAATCCCAAAAAAATAAAATTAAAAGACACTTTTTGTGTTGAACAATACTTGGCTACTAAAAAATGAGTAGGAACTATTACTCAAAACTTTTGGTATTTTAATCACAGAGCTTTGTGCTTATGATCAAAACTGTTTATAGTATGAATCACACTATAAAGATCATCTCTGCAAAAAAAAATAATATTAAAACTAAGATCGTTTAGTCAATCTATTATAGTAAATACATAGAATATTCATAATACTTTTACCAAGACCATTCATTTGTTTTTTAAAATATTGGATCCAAATCAAATACCAAACGGGCCCTTAATAATTCAAGTAATTCTTGAAATTAATTGTTTGTTGTAAAAATTAAGTTTTGGTCGAAAGGAACTGTTGTAAACTTCGTTTTTAGAAGGGACAAAGGAGAGAAGGTGGCCGGCTAAACAAGAGAGAGAAGGGATTGAGAAATTTCAAGCATAATTAAGTTTGGAGTTATCTTTGACGATGTCGTTACTTGGTTTCACTATTACAAAGATGACGAGGGTGGTGAAGGCTAATTCAAATGTTTGTTTATGTTGAATTTTAAGCATCCGTGACGCTGTTTTTTTTATATCTAAGTTCTGCCTCAAGTAATTATTTTTTTTATCGAGTTCCACATCATCAGCGTACTTCTTCTAGCTAAGACCTTGTATTTTTCAAGTAGTTTGAGTTGGTATTTGTAAGACATTTTGTTTTATATCCCTAGGCAGCTGTTTTAAACTAAAACTAAGCGCCAACAACTTCCTTGGCTCCAAATTTATGCGTTCATGGGACTTTGCTCCAGCTTCTGCGTCTGCCTAGAGGGGCTGAGAGCCGGCTCCGACGATGCCGCAGACGGAATTGATTCGTTCAACCTCTTCTTCGACCTCCAGGCGCTGCAAATCGCCACCGGTTTCTTCTCCGAGCTCAACAAACTCGGCCACGGAGGATTCGGTCCCGTTTACAAGGTACGTACGGACTCGTAAATCGCTAGCTTGATCAGGGCCAATCCTGGAAGTTTAAGTAAATCACGTATTTTCTTCAAATGGTAGATTGCTAAGTGTATGAGTATTTTTTTTTCCAATACAAGCGATAGTTTATACTAAATTAACTATAGGATAGAGAATTCGAACTTTAGTGCAAAGGGTACCACACTGCTCGAGCAAGCTTTGCTAAGCTCATGTTTGCTGTAATGTATAAGAGTTGAGAAGTAAACCTACCCGTAGTTTAGATGTAAGTGGAGCTTAACGCAGACATGAGCGTACTAACATTAGAAGTGGATGCGCTCCCCTATGCACATAATTTGAATCATCTCCCGTAGTTTATAATAGATTAAATTGAATATCGTCCTAAAAAAAAGTTGTGATCTTTAAAATACCACTTATTTCTATTTTCTTCGGATTGTTGAGTATTTATCTTCCTTGTATGGACTATGCAGGGATTGATGCCAAATTGTCAAGAAATAGCTGTAAAGAAGCTTTCGTTAGGTTCCCGGCAGGGAGCTAGAGAATTCACCAACGAGGTGAAACTGTTACTGAGAGTTCAACACAAGAATTTGATCACGTTATTGGGATGTTGTGTAGAAGGGCCTGAGAAGATGTTGGTTTACGAGTATCTCCCAAACAAAAGCCTCGATTACTTTCTTTTCGGTTTGTTGCTCTTCCCTACTTGAATTTATATGTGTTCATCTCGGCATCAGAGTGAATTTGAATGAATTACTTCATTTGGTTAAACCCGAAACTTTCAGATAAACAGAAATCTGGAAGCCTGGATTGGACGACAAGGTTTCAGGTGATTATGGGCGTGGCAAGAGGTCTTCTCTACCTTCATGAAGAGGCCCCGGAAAGAATCATTCACAGGGACATCAAAGCTAGTAATATATTACTAGATGAGAAGCTGAACCCGAAAATCTCGGATTTTGGCTTAGCAAGACTCTTTCCTGGGGAGGACACTCATATCAATACATTTCGGATTTCTGGCACTCAGTGAGTAGTCTCTTTTCTTCACTTCTTTTACCCTTTATCCCATACAAAGTTTTTACCATTTCATCCCACTCGTCAAGGAGCAATGAAAAACGGAATTGAGTGAATTATTTTGTTGAATGCAGTGGTTATATGGCCCCTGAATATGCAACGCATGGATATTTATCGGTGAAGACGGATGTTTTCAGTTACGGAGTCTTGGTGTTAGAGATCATCAGTGGGAGAAAGAACCACGATGGGCAGCTCGAAAGAGAAAAGGCCGACCTCTTGAGCTATGTATGTTACTTATGTGGAAAGTTTTGTTGCAAATTATGCAAACCACAAATCAAAATATGATCCCTCGATAGTGTGACTAAGTTACTAACTATACTTGGTACCTCTGCAAATTTAGGGAATACCGAAACTGATTCTTAGTTAGCGTGTAATGCATAGCGCAGTTTATCTAATAGGACTACTTCTTAACGAACTCTAACCTAAGTAATCATTACAGGTGTTATCGTCCAATGCTCATGCAGTTTTTTTTCCCCTTTTTTTTTTTCTGTTGAAATATGTGCTCAGTCAATTCATATAACCCTCACTTTCCTTCGCTCTCTTCCGCAGACATGGATGCTGCATCAAGGAGGGAAAGCATTGGACCTGGTGGACCCAAACCTGGCCAGGTGCAATCCCGTCGAGGCAGCAATGTGCATTCAGCTAGGACTTCTATGTTGTCAAGCAAGTGTTGCAGAAAGGCCAGACATGAAATCCATCTTTCTCATGTTTTCGAGCAATTCATTTACTTTGCCGAGTCCAGGTAAACCTGGACTTCAGGGCCGTAGAGGATGTTGGACAAGCAGCCCTACCTCCGCTTTTACCAACGTTACTAATGCCAGTAGTCGCGGGAGCAGTTTTGTTGAGGAACATTCTAGAAATACGATGTCTCATTCTTCTGTCGACGAAGGTAGATGATTAATAATAACCTTCACTTGTAATTCAATTGTGTTGTGAGCTCCATTTTTGTGATGTAAAGTGATAGTGTAGGAGAATCGGTTTAGGATTCTGTTGGGCTAGGTTACGTAAATTCTTGTGGGATTAGGTTTACTTGTACACCAAGTCAGTTGACTAGTATATATTTGTACCTTGTGTTATCAATTGAAATCAATCCAATTGTAATTCTACATAAAGTAACTAATTTTAATCATGAATGTAATTTGTTTAACTCTTTGATTATCCAAACGTCAAAAGATTTACTATTTTAAGGTGAAAGTGAAACCTCTGTTTTAGGCAACAACACAAACCTGTGTTTTACACCAACCACGTACAAGAAAGAAAAACCTCAAACCTTATACAAATCAAAACAGATAGAAATCATGAATTGCAGAGAACAACATTTTCAATTAACAAATCCCAGAAGCCCTGCGCTCCCTCGGTTCATCACCAGGGGGCCTGGAAGGCCGTCTTTGTTCAGAATCGGAAGCACATAGGGCAGGTCTTGAAGAACCTTTACCTTCATAGCTCACCCTCTTTCCGGCTTGTGGGGAAACCAATCTGTTACGCTGTTAGCTTCGTGCAAAAGCTAACCTCGAATTCAACTTGCAGGTCCCACATTGTGTTACATTTACAAATTTCTTGAATTGTATATGAAGACGAGTTTTATCTGCAATTCAAATACTTTCATGTATTTCCTGTCTAATTTTCTTGTCTATTCATTATTCATATCGCTATGGGGCAACGCCAATGCCACATGAAAATTTCTTGCAGTATTTGGTTTCCGAAAAAAGGAAAAGAGATGGAGTTGAATTTGAATTTCATGAAATGGAGGCCAAATTGGCAACTCAGAAAATGCTGCAACCACGACCAAGTAATCTTCCTCATCTCCGTTGCTGTCTGCACTGTTGTTATACTTGTGGTAACCCCTCTCTCTCTCTCTGTCACGATCTTTACCTCCTAGCAAAATTTTGGTACTTGGATATATCTAATTAATCGAATTTGTTTTAATTTTTAAACATGTAAAGAATCCGCTAATGTTTTTGTGTCAACTTGTTTCGTCAATTCTTGTAGCTGTGGAGGACAGTGCTGATGACACCTTTTAAGCTTATAACCGTGTTCCTTCACGAGGTGAGCCATGCAATCGCTTGTCTGCTTACATGTGGTAAGGTAAGAAATTCTTTCTCACTTTTATCTAAATTTTTAAGAATGGTCACGTTTAGTTTGAGACGGGTAATGATAAGATTAGTCTGCAGGTGGAAGGGATTAAAGTTCAGGCAGATGAAGGTGGAGTCACACAAACCCGTGGCGGCATATCCTGGATAATTTTGCCAGCCGGATGTAATTTCGTTTTATCCTTGGCCATATTTTATGTTCAATTAACATGCACATTGCATCTGATTTAATTGTTACATTTATCATCCTTCGATTTTGTGGCACGCCAGATCTTGGTTCATCGTTTTGGGGGATGATATTGATTCTTGCATCTACGAAGCATCTCACTACACAAATCGCTGCTGGCTGTTTCATCGTTGCCCTAATTATTGTATTCTTTTTAGCTAAAAATGTAAGTCATAGCAAACCCATCTTTTACTTGATTTCAAAGGAAGTAAAACTTGCTAACTAAAAACTTCTGTTGTGTTTGTACTTCTTGACATCGTACAAGTGGACGCTTCGAGGACTTTGCATCGGTATGGTTTCCGTATTTCATCAAAACATCGTCCTGTTACTACTAGCACACGATGCAATTTGACGTTTGGGGTTTTATTTATGTTTTACGGTGTTGAACTACCAGGATTCATTGTTTTATTTGCTGCAATTTGGTATCTGCAAGAAGCAACGCCGGTTCATATGCTTAGGGAAGTGATTCTGTTCACCGGTAATTGCATCTCCGCTATTTTCGTTCAACTATTTCTTGAGAAAGTACCTTATGTATTCTTCATTTCGTCTGACGCTTTATTTTATCTAATGATAGGTGTGATGAACAGCTTGTTTTCGGTGTATGGTAAGAAGCGATACTATTTGATCGTCATTTTAACTGCATGTTTTTGTACTCATAGATACCTTGTAACGTATACATGTAACGGTCAATGCAGATATATACGATGATCTTATATCGCGGAGAATTAATACGAGTGATGCTGAAAGATTTGCAGATGAGTGTCCCTGCTGTACTGGATGTGGATGGGGTGTCATTTGGTGAGCCTTTATGGTTTCTCCTCCGTTCTTTTCTTTTTATCCATTTTCGTTGTTTTCTAACTACGAAGAGCTTTACGCGTAGGGCGTTCATATCTTTCACATATCTCTGTGGATCTGTGTACCTTGCTCTTGTGATCTTGTCTCCACGTCTGTGACTGCATTGCAAATTGGCCTAACATGAACTCCGTTCGCCGCATGCTTTCAAGCGTTTCATTTGGCCGGACGAGGGAAACCTGGACGAAAACACCGCCGAGGAGGCTTCTGGGGGAGTAGTTTTGTTGAGGATTTTTCTAGATATTCGTTTTCTCGTATTCTTCCATTGATGAAGGTACATTACCTCCATTTCATGTGATACAAAAGCTATTTTTGTAATCTTAAATCTCATGGCAATACTATATAATTTGTTTAATTAATTCATAATATATACTTGTTCAAATACAAATAAAAATGTTTACGAGATGTGGATTAATCTACTTGACTATCGTTAAGGACTGCCACTGAGTCGTAGTCGTAATGTTCCATTGACTGTGGTCGGTTTTGGGAATAAATCATGTATTAATGGGGGAATGACGTTACATAGATTTATAAGTAAGTTCGTCTACTTTTCATATTGCCAATTAATTCTATGTTCAATGAGATCCAACAAAAGCCATCGAGTACCTCAACAAGAAATTTTTTTTTTGTTTGTTAAACAAACGATATAATCTACACTATGAGAAAATAGGATAAGTCTCACAATGAGCTAGCAATAATGTGGTTCAAATTCGCCTTTGGAAAGGATCAAATCTAAAACCTCTCACTTACAAGTGAAAATAAATATTATTAGACCGTAGTATTAAGTAGCAGTACTTCAACAAGAAGTTGAAGTTTGTGAAAAATAATTGCATGTATAAGACCTCGTTTGGTATAGATAAATAGTTCATCAAAAACATCAAAGGAAATTTTTGTGTTTACATTTACAATTTGCCACCTTTACATTGTTTCTTTTTTTAATAAATGATATTATCTACGCTAAAAGAAAAGAGCAAGCTTAGCCTTATAATATATTAGTAATAATGTAGTGTAAGCTCTCCTTTAACGAGAATCGAACTTAAAAAAAGTAAATTGACTGAAAAATAGCAATTTTAAATAAAAATTATAAAATAATTTCTGACCGTACAGTACAATGTAAGGTGAATAAGGGCTGGTTTGGTATTGCTGTGCTTTGAAAAAAAAGCTGCTTCTGCTGTGCTGTGAGAATAAGCAGCTGTGAAATAAAGCAGCAGAGTGTTTGGTAAACTTTTTTGTAAAAGTGCTTTTGAAAAAAAAAAAGCAGTATTAGAGTGTTTGGTAAACTTTTATGTAAAACAGATGTGAAAAAAAGCCGGTTTTTCAAAGCTAGGTTTTGCAGCTTCTTGTTTTTGGCTTTTTTTCATCCAAAACTGTGAAAAAAAGCTGAAGCTGAGTGTTTACCAAACACAAAAACAGCTCTCAACTTTTTTTTATAGCAGCTTTTTTCATAATTACCTCAATACCAAACCAGATCTAAACATAATTAAAGGATTCCGGAAGAATTCTCGTTCTGTTGTACATTCCCAAATATACCAAAAAAAAAAAAAAAAAAAAAAAAGACTTTAACTCGAAGATTTTGAAATGGGTTGGATCTGGAATGTAGCGTTAGAAACAGTGCACCTGGCGAGACAAAAGTCATGGGATTTTTACTACTTTCCAGACATGTTCTAGTCTCCTGATTGGTCACCAAAGATTCAAACTTTTTCAAAACTTCCTTCTGTTTTGTTTTTGCCCATCTTCAAAATTTGCTCTGCACTCTCCTCACTCTCACTTCAAATAAAAAAAATTCAATCTTTATACTTTCTCTTTGATCGGGGAGAGAGAGAGAGAGAGAGAGGGACACCAACTTTCTCTCTCTAAATTTGGGGTCAGAGATGAGGCCTAATTGGGAACTCACAAACTGCTGCAACCACGAGCAAGTCGTCTTCCTCATCACCGTTGCTGTCTGCACTGTCGTCATACTTGCTGTAAAACTCTCTCTCTCTCTCTAACTTACATTGGTTCTGGCCAGTGTTTTCCATGGCTTTTGATATTATATTTGAGAAGTTGGAGTGTCGCTTTGATCTGGGCAAAGATTTGTTTTTCGACAAGTTGGAGAATTGGATTGATTCTTTGGTTCATAAAATTTGTTCTTCAGCTGTGGAATGAAGAGCAGTTTGATTCCCTGTTGATTTGTTTTCTGCTCTTAACAAATTTTGGGGCTTGGGATCTTTGCCAGTGCTTAAGTTCAAGTTAAATTGGCCGAATTGGTCATTTTTCAATCCCCAATTGCTGAAACGATCGTTTGATTTCTACGTCGATATTTAATTTTGATCAGTTCATCTGGGATTTGATTTCTGATAATTTTAGCTCATTTCCCAAATTAGTTTCAAGGAGAAATGCAATTCTTCAACTTGTTTTTTTGTTGTATCTTGTAAATATGGTGTACCGTTTACAATTCATGAATGGTGAATCGTTCTTCCTTCCTTGTAGCTTTGGAGGACAGTACTTCTGAGACCCTTCAAGCTTGTCACTGTGTTTCTTCACGAGGCGAGCCATGCTATTGCTTGTAAACTTACATGTGGTCATGTAAGAACCCCTCCTCTTCCATATTTTCATCGAAAAATTTACGTTGATAAACTGGAACAGAATGCCTGCCTGCCTGCCTGCCTGCCTCTAGTTTTGTTGAATCAATAGTGTATTTGTTAGTGACTGATACTTCAGGTCAGGAGAAATGCCACTTGCTTCCAGTAATAACGCTCTTTCGTATATGTTCTGTATGCACTTCGTTGTATTCGTTTGATGAAATTAGACATTGGAAAGTCTGCCTTGCTGAGATGTCCTAATGAAAACGCGTAGAATGTCTTCGTAATTGGCTATGTTTAGAGGCAGGTAATGATACAGATTAGTTTGCAGGTGGAAGGGATTCAAGTTCATGCAGATGAGGGCGGAACCACACAAACCCGGGGTGGTGTATACTGGTTGATTTTGCCCGCTGGATGTAATTCCTTTTATCTTTGACCTCTTCTCCGTTGGGAACTGTTTTCAAATGCATGATATTTTATACTTACCATTTGGACATTTCGGGTCATATATGGTTTGTTTCTCAGTCTGATGCAATTGTTATCCTTCTCATTTTTCCGTTTATGTTGCGCATCAGATCTTGGTTCGTCCTTTTGGGGGATGCTCTTGATTCTTGCATCCACAAATCTCCTTACTGCTCGAATAGCTGCTGGGTGTTTTATTGCTGCTCTACTGATTGTACTGTGCATAGCTAAAAATGTAAGTGCTAATAGACATGCTTTTACTTGAAGCGTCAGGATATGTAACAGTTTAACGTTGGATTTCATTGATGCTGAATGCATAAGTTTGTCAAATAGACGACATGTTTGCCTAACATTGGATTTCATCTTTATCCTGTTGTGTTTGTTCTGCTTGATGATGTGCAGTGGATGCTTCGAGGACTCTGTATAGGTATGTATTCTAGTTGCAGTGGTATATCTTCCTATGACTAGCAAAGGATGCAATATGACGTTTGTTTCTCATGTTTACACCGCCAGGATTCATTGTTTTTCTCGGCGTAATTTGGGTTCTGCAAGAAACAACAACAGTTCGTGTGCTTCGGTACATTATTCTGTTTATTGGTAATTGAATCTCTTCTATTTCCTTTCTTTTGGTCATCTTCCAAAACTACGGGAATAACTAATCGCTGCCGGTTCTATTTTGTCTAATGCAGGTGTAATGAACAGCTTGTTTTCAGTCTATGGTATGGGGAAGAAACAAAATATTTGATCCTCAAATTAACCTGGCAATTGTTGCATTGGTCAACTCCGTTTAATGTCTAATTGTAACAATGCAGATATCTATGACGATCTTATATCCCGTAGAGTTCGTTCTAGTGACGCCGAGAAATTTGCAGAAGAGTGTCCTTGCTGCACTGGCTGTGGATGGGGTGTCATCTGGTGAGCTTCTTATCGTTAATAAGAATTGCGCCCGAGTGCAAGACATGCTCTTGTGCCCTACTTCAGCCGTTTTTTCTAACTCCTAAGAGCTTTCTTTGTAGGGGTTTTCTATCTTTCGGGTTTCTTTGCGGAGCCATGTACCTTGGTCTTGTGATTTTGTCTTAGAGGCAAGTTTTTGCTTCGAAAAGTTGTTATTCTTATCGCCTATTTGCTCAATCACGAGAAATACTTATATAGAACAGGTTCACCGTGTAAATGTCTCCCCTCAATCACCCTCGCTGCATTTGTGCAGGTTACCAAATCCGGTAAAATTATTTGGCTGCTGCGAAGTTTCGACAGCACCATGTCTGTGGCTGGCAATGGTCCGTCGCTGCCACCGCCCACGAGCGCCATCTAAATACTGTCAAGCAGATTTTTTCGTCATTCTTAAGCTTCTATCGATTCATTCTTTCAAACGATTTGAATCTCACAGAGACGATTTATCCCAATGAATTTTGTTTGCTACAAATCTATTAACCACGGATCTGTTTGGAATTTTCTAAATAAGGATCTCACTTATCAATTATTTAACAAACGCAAAATCAAACATTGACAACATATTGATTAAATATCAACGACATAGTAATCATTATCAAATTCCCCGACTCAAGGACCTTGATCACAAAGTGGGAAAAAGGATGTTGGAGATCTTGTGATCGTAACTGTTCATCGTACAATCATCATATATCGTACGGTCAAAAATTATTTAAAATTTAAAATTAAATATAAATACTACCTAACGAAAACTAAACGCATAATATATACAATGAACGATCACGATCACAGGACCCCGATATCTTTTTCCCACGAAGTGAAGGAATATCAAGGACTAGTTGAAAACTAATCATTTCAGCAACCAAATTAAGAAAATACTAATTATGCAAAATGGTAAATAGTTTGTCACGAAGCAAGTGATGTCGAAAACCAAGCATGAAATTTGAAGAGTCGAAACACTTGATTGAAAAACCTTCGATTCAAAGAACAGAATAAAAATCCGACATTAAACCATATCACATCAACAAAAATACGAGCTAGTAATGTAGAGAACGAAATCCTTCAAAGGCTATCCTAAAACCAGGTCTTCAACATCAAAATTTTAAATCGTCTGCCTGCTCAACTGCAGTTCGTAAGGTAAACCAAATAATTCTATGCTTCGGTGATTGGATACTCGAACACAACATCCTTTCCCGAAAGCTTCCTGTAAACAGCAGAGAAGCTCTCCAGCTTGTATTCGGTGTTGTTACGTTCCTTGGGGTCCAAGAACACCTGCCCAACATTAGGATAAAGGAGACTTCAATATTCTAGTTTTTCTATTAGAACATCTATCCAACTTAATTTACCATTTCATCCAAGCCTTGATAGTTTACCTTCATTATCTTGGATCCATCAAGACGGTATCTTATGCGCTTTCCGGTAATCTCAGCAGGCAACACAACATCCTCCAACATTGCCTCGTGCACAGCAGTTAGTGTACGAGTGCGGGGGCGTTGAGCAGCTGACCCTTTCTTTGGAGGCCTCACAATCCTACGTGTGGCAATCAGGATCACATCCTACCAAATGAAAACCCAGGAGGCCCCTATGAGGTTACCAAACAAAAAAGAAATTTTGCAAATAGATACAGATATGCATATAGGAATCACTTATTTATAGATAAATAATGTAATAAGACAACTAAATTTCAGAACTAGGCCACCCACTAGAGAGACAAGAAACCAAGATGAAAAGCTAGCTGAGCAGATAAAAAGAGTAACAAAGAGATAAATTGTTTCAAGCTGTTAGGCGCAAAGGGTAATGCCTAGAAACGAGGATGCTACATAACCACAATGATAGACTAGTCTCAATTATTTATAAGTTCACATACAATACAGAACCGAACATCATAAATTACTAATCACCTTTCCACTGAACTTCTTTTCAAGCTCCCTCACGAGGCGAACGTGAATCTTGCGGTATGCCTTCCTAAGCCTATAGGGCACATGGATAACAACTGCCTTCTTGCTTCCAGACACATCAACTTGACTGCGGCAGAAAAAGAATGCAACTCATACAATAGGCAACAGTTTATACACACAAATTCCGTAAACAATGCTTACATTGCTGAATTAATATATAGATCCTTCAGGTCACTCTTCAGCTCCTGATTTGTGTTTTCCAAATCAAACAATGCCTGCACAGATAAGAACGGGTGATCAAAACCCAAAACTACAACAACAAAGTAACTAAAAATCATAGTAAACAGCTGCATCACTTACTTGAGCAACTGACTCTTCAAATTCAGTCGGCTCAGCATTGTTATCCTTGGAAATCTTCTTCCTTGAAGTATACATCTTGGCAAAAACTGACTAAACAATACAGGCATAAACCACAATCAAAATTTCCGGCATGCAAAGACACGAAAAAACTGATAAACTTGGATATTCGGCGCGAAAACAAGAATTATATTACGATCCATCATACGCCATTCGAGTTTTATAAATCAGAGAAAAATTAAAACAAACATGGAATAAAGGGTTGGGATCATATTATTGAACAAAACTCAAAACCCACATTACAAAATACAAATCTTTCTGCATTCGAACAAATCACAATCCAAATGAAGGGAAAAAAATGGAGAAAATAAGCAAATGGGTCGCTAAGTTTTGCAAAAATTGATGCTTGGAGACAACGTAAACATCTTAAAACCCCTTCGATTTCATGTGAAATAAAAGCAGCATAAGAAATCTAAGATGCATAGACTTACTACAGCTAAAAGTCTCAAACTTTCTCACACAAAACAGTCAGTCGAGCAGTGAATCGAATGTAAGAGAACGAGTTGAGGAAGATAAAATGGGGATTAGAGATTTAGGGTCTACCTCGAGGAGAATCGAGAGCCGGAGCGACTTCTGCGTTTGAGAAAACCCTACAGCTCTGGCTTCGGCGGGTTCAGAGAAACCCTAAGGATGGCGAATAAAAAAGCTTTAACGAGATAGAACGGACGGTTGGATGATGAATCGTATAAATGAACGGTTACGAATAGCCCTGGAGTACTATACAGTAAAATATTGGGCTGAAAGCCCAACATCCAAACGACAAACTTAACCCAGCGGGCTTTTACAAAAGGCCCTCGAAACTATCATTTTGTTTTGAGGCCCTAAACTTTAAATATTTCTAATTCTCCCCCAACCGTTAGCGTTCTCACAATTTTTGTTCATCACTTCCAATGCACAAGATCAAGTTTTAGGGACATATAAGAAAAATTATTTGGTACTTGATCTGCATCAAATTCAAATATTTTTGTTTTTTTGTCGTCGTAAAAGCTTATATTGTACAAATTGCACAAAAACAACACTCAATTTGATAAAAAAAAGTCTGAACTTAACAGTTGGACGAACATTTCAAGAGAAAAAGAGTCAACATAATTTTCGAGAGCTCTATTCTGACTAACTTTCCAGTTGGTGATCATGGAAATTGTCATGCCTAGTAGTCTTTTTCCAATTTGTTGAATTAAAAAAAAAATATATATTCTGACTAACTTTCCAGTTGGTGATCATGGAAATTGTCATGCCTAGTAGTCTTTTTCCAATTTGTTGAATTAAAAAAAATATATATATTCTACTAATAAACCAATTACACTATCTATACGTTAATCGATGAGAAGACTTGTCATAGTTTTGTGTTAGAAGGGATCATCTCTGGATCCTTTCCACCTAATCCTTCTCATCAAACAATCTAGACCTTTGAAATTTGATTAAACAGCTAAAAATACGAGCCCACTTTAAAAGTTATAATAACTTTAGCCGTTTGATTAAATTTTAAGGATCCCGATTGTTTGATGAGGAGAACTAGGTGGAAGGGATCTGAAAAGGATCCCCTTCCGTTTTGTATTAGCTATAATCAATGGTGAGAGGGGAAGACCAAATATTAGCATGTTCTGTGCTATAATATGTGGAAGTATTTCGAGTCAATCATGCACTGACATGTGTTTTTAATTATTCAATATTATTATTATAGACTACCGTCACAATGTCATCTCAATTGTAGAAAAGTTCCTTTCCCTTTTAACATAGGTTGCAACTTTTTTTTTTCTCAGTTGCATTAATTTTCTAGTGCTTCATGGTTGGTGGTCTCTTTGACGCACTTGACTTGCAAGTCTTAAATCAAAGCATTGCTGCAAGAAGATATTGCTTCCTAAAATTGACTAATTTAGTCACGATTTCTCCACCGTCCCATTAATTGGTTAAGGAAGAAAATTTGAAGCCTGGCTACTTTTGCATTTATAAAACCATGTAGGTTTTTTTTTAAGGAAAACTAACAAAAATGGTTTGAAAACTTTGAGTTTTAACGATAAGGATAAAATAAAGATAAAGTGAATAGTACCATGATTGACTTTTTAGTATAAAAATGTGATTTTTCGTTAAAGTGAACAGTACCGTGGACTTTTCATTAAAACTCTTTTTTTTTTTTTTTAAGAAAGAGTGCTATATTTTATTTATTGATAAAATGACATTATAAAAATATATCATGAAGAACTCGGCTTTAAAAGGGTACTTGCAAACTAGATCTAGACATATTACAATAAACATTACTTATCGCAAAGTAATGGATAGACTTGAAGCATTTGTTCGAGCACATTAGGAACCACAAAATTTATATAGATCAACAAAACCGTTAAATTTTGTGTTACACGGAGACCATGTGAGAACAAAATCTCAAATCATATATTGAGACATAGAGTACAATGGCCATAGGTGGATCACCACCTATTCACCGCCATGATCCCAGAATACAAGTGAAATAGATCCAGCAAATCAAACAAATTCATCCTTAACACTTGGATCCAAAAGAGGTTGCACACTAAAACGAAAAGGAAAATCAAGCAACTCTTATGTAGAGAGCAATCAAACAAGCACACACTCCTAAAGAAAGAAATCAAACCAAACTCCAAAACCATTCTTGGAAATTATTAAACATAACTAAAATAAAAAGATAAAATTATGTCACCGCTTTATAATCTCCGGACATAGGAAAGCCATATTGCTGCATCGACTAAACCTAAATTGTCATTATGGCTAAACCAAGCCTGATGCAATTTGATAACTTTCCCTGCTTCAACCTAATATTGAAGGTGATAACCGTACCCAAAGCCTTGTGTTAATTGTCTTGTGTGGGCCAAAATGTGATGGCTATCACAACAACTACAGCATTTCAGGACGAAAATTCAACACCAAATAAAGTAAACATGAATTGAGAGGAAAGAGACCAAGAATGATTTCAAGAAGATTGTCGTCGGCCCCAAACCCAACACCAAACACGGGCCAGCGCAGATATATTTTATTTTATTTTTATACAAGAACCAAGTAGGTTGAAGCTGTAACAATATATGAAACTGCACTCGAAGACAAAGTGAACTCGGAGCCTTAGTGCTTGTCTCATAACCATACCATTTTCAGTACTAACAATATTTGTACAATTTTGTGTGTTGGGTAGAAAATTAGCTGCTTAACACTTGATGAAATGATATATAAACTAATTTGTATGAGTCACAACTTCCCATTTGGCCACATTTCATCCATGTTCCACATGCTACATGAAAAAATCACTGTCAAACCAGTTGTTTTCTGCCACGTAGCAATCGCCGGCGGAATTTCCAGGGAAATTTGGTGCTGAGTCTGCTGACACAGATTCCTGCAGATTTAAGGATTCCATGTCGTTGCCACTGTTGTCACCACAATAGAAAGGAGGGCATTCCGGAAATTGCGCAGTCTTCGACATGTCCACTGGTTCTGAAGGGAAAATGCATGAACTTGTGCAGTAATCTGCCTCTGTGTTTTGCTTTTCGACATCCAAATTGTACATTGTTCCACTCATATTAATTTCTTCCAGCACTAGGATTTGTGGTGGCTGGGATACTGTTGCCGTTAGATGTTGGACAGTGTTGTTTTCGAGAGGCTGCGAAATCGTAGGATTTTGGTTTAACACAGCTGAAGAAATCGATGTTTCTCCTCCTATCTTCTGCTTCAACCTAGGCATCCAAAAGCACCTTATCATATTTTGAAACTCTCTGCTTTTCATGTCGATGTTGAGATGCCGGGCTTGTTTGTGCATCCTTGTTCTCCAATAGTTCTTGATTTCATTGTCTGTTCTTCCCGGTAAATACTGCGCGATTTTCGACCACCTGCGATCACAAAAGGAAATATAACTATTTTTCTATAATTTAAGACCAAAAAGCACCACACTATAAATGGTAAGTTTTAATAAACTCTGCATGAAAAAGGCTTCTTTAAGATGTAAAGAAACTGAATGCCTCTCCGCGTTTGTTTATATTAGATTAGAACATCGCTCGAATTAAAAGCGGCAATGAATTTTGGGTGTTGAATGGGGTAGCTAGCTCACCTATTGCCCATTTTTGAGTGGAGGTTAAGAATCAAGAGCTGTTCTTCAGGACTAAGATTGCCTCGCTTAACGTCGGGTTTCAGATAATTCAACCATCTCAATCTGCAACTTTTGCCAGTTCTCCTTAATCCTGTATAATTAACCAACAAATTAAGAAATATAATAAACCAAAAAAGAAGGGAAAAAAAAAAAGACCATAAAATACTCGTAGCCATAGTCACCAGCATGCAAATTGGTTACGTACGGTTACCTGAACGTTTGGCAAGCAAGTTCCACTGGCCTTCGCCATGGCGCTCTATGTACTGAATAAGAAGACGGTCTTCTTCAAGAGTCCATGGCCCTCTCCTAAGCTCACTGTCGTCTTCGCCGGAACAATTGCTACTTAGGGTTTTAGTATTAGTGGACATACCAGCTCTCATTCATAGAAACAAGGGCAAGCTTTTGAGGTGTTAAAACAAAGCCAGACTAGAAATTTATATGCATCATACAAACACACACACACACACACACATATATAAGTATATATAGTAAACCAAAACCATTTTTCTCCTTGAGAATTTCTAAGGGCAAAGCCAGAAAATTCAAAGAAGAAGACTAGTAGAGTTGCAGATTCTACATGCATGTAGCTTCCATTGAGCTTCCTTTAGTTTATGGTTTATGTAGGAAAAGAAAAAGAGAAGCAAAACGACAATCACCCATGGAAGTAAATATTGGCGGGAATAACAACCAGTAAGATTAATTTTATTGAATATAAATTCCACTATAATAAAATTATACAAACATATATGATATATAATCACATAAAACAAAATTATAAAAATGTAATGACCTAAGGGAATTTTGCAGATAGAGCCTTACGGATTTGCAATGTCCTTGAAACAAAATTTTGTCTTTACTCAATGTTTGTAACTCTATGGACAAATGTTTTTTCTACCAGGATTCAACTAGCTATAAACAAAGTTTAAGGTAGGCATTCTAATGCTTTTTTCAGAACATATGTAACGATTTGATCAAACAGATCATATAACTGTTTTGAATTAATCAAAAATTTAAAAAAATTAATTAATCACTGAATTAAAAACTTAACTAAGTCATTAAGGCTTTTCTTTAATTAATTAAATTTATACATTAAGCATAAACCAGGTGGGCCTCCTCACATGCACTTAATTCATTTTAATTGGATGTTAATTTGATCGATTTAGACATGTTAGACTTTTTTTCATAAGACTACAAATGGATTTATGCTTATTATTAAAGGCAGATAAAACAGAATGTTGCTATCTTATCTTAGTCGCCCTTTGATTAGTATACATAGCTGCGTAGGCAGTGGCGGCTCTAGGGAAAGAACGGCGCATTGTACAGGACTTTGGATTTGAGCGGCTTCAAAAAATTTGTCAGCTAAAATTTATATGCGATAATCCTATAGATTAAAAAAAATTGCTCTGATTAGCACTTCAAAATGTCATTATGCATTCTTTGTAAGTGTAAATTTTTTTAATCGAAATATAAAAATTGAGAATGTATAATAAGATGCTTAAAGTGTCAATAATAAAATTGAAAAAAAAATCTTATTATATAATAGTGTTATATAATCAAGTGAAACTTTAAAGTTAGAGTTTTTGAAAAAAAAAAAATTTCTTGTTTGATTGTTTAAGATTGACTGTTTTTTATTATTTAATGAACGTTATGTTTGTAGCTTTTTGTACTTATTATTTAATGATAGTTGTGAACTTATAATTAGTTAGTCCTAAAGTTTGTTTTGATTTAAGTTATTTCAAAGACAACCCTGTGTGTAGGCATCGTAAAAGATAAACCAACACGCTTCTTTTGGTAGTAATTAAGATAAATATAACACCACTACTTCATAAACAATATTTAAATTAAATTCAATGAATTTCAAAACAAAAACAAGAACATGAGGTACTGCTCTTTGCGTGCAATGTTGTCAGCAAAAATAATATGAAATATTTGTATGTACGCAACGCATGAATCAGATTTATAGTAAATAATAAATTAAGGAAACATTAGTATCCGGTCCTTAGTTTCTAATGTTCATTGATTAAAATCCTATTAATTTTTATATTTTGATCAAAGTCCCTATCATATATGCAAGTTACATAATTTTTATAACAAAAATTAGTAATTGATTTAGAGATATTTACACCCTTATTAAACTCCTAATTAATTTTCAATTCAAACATTTCCAAAATATAAAAAATAAAATTAGAATAAGTTTGTACCCATTAAATTTTTATAAAAAATTGATATGTACCCATTCTTAAATATACCAATTTGTTATATGAAAAATGTACCCTTTTTTAATATAAAATGTACCCATTTTTTATATAAAATTCATTCAATCTTTTCTCTAATCCATTTTTAAACTTCTATGGGTACATTTTGAGAATGTAATTATGTCAAATTAAATAGAAGAAATTTAATAATGTTATTAAGCCTAATATCTTCTTTTTTTGTGTTTTTTTAAAATGTACCCATGTTTTGGTACAATAATTTTTTAGTTAGTTTTTTATGAGCGTACTCGTGTGTGTACACAAAATATATTGGAGAATATAATTTATCTTTGATATTTTTTATCCTATAAATTATGGGTTTTATTTTAAATCTCATTAATATAAATAACTACAAATTTTATTCTTAAATTAAATATATAATAACCTACATAGAAATATATTATTACATTAATGTCAAGAATTTCGATAAAAAACTAAAAACAACAAAGATTTCAGTAAAAAAACATTTGTAATTAGGAACCACATCCAAAATGTTCCTTAAATCAATTAACGTGATTACTCATTGAATTAAGCAGTCCACGATTCCATGCACAAAGATATCATATATGAGAGGGATACAGCTAAAGGGTGGACGCACTTTGAGGTCAAGGTGGCCTCGCGACTATTAGGAGTCCATAAAATAAATATGTCAAAGTCTTTCGATTCGATTGTTTAGTACGTGTCTCTGTTGTACCCACCAAGTACTTGATGTAATGTATGCTAAGCATATATTGGTAGCAATAGGCAAATTGTGTCAAGATCACTCAACAAAGTCTCTTGATTGCACTCATCAGATTTCTTCAGCATATATTTCTATTTGTTGACATGTGTACAAGTTGGCTTAACTGACGACAATAAGCCATCAAATATTCAACTAAAAGTCTTAGTGAATAAGCTGAATTTTTTTAGCGTGCTTCATGTCCTATTCTTATCTAAAAACTTAAACCTTTGACACTGAAGTCTCTCAATGTTCAAATCTTGGATCTATCACCGAATATTGTCAAGCCTTGATGATGATTTAGCTACTGTTGCAACATGTAGTTTTCTGCCAGAAAACTTTGATAAGATAAGACGAAATTGATTAACCAAAATTTTGTACTTTGATGATGATTTAGCTACTGTTGCAACATGTAGTTTTCTGCCAGAACACTTTGATAAGATAAGACGAAATTGATTAACCTTAATTTTGTTCTTTGATAAGACAAGACGAAATTGATGGGTTTATGACGTTTGCTAATTCTTGTGTCATGGGTTTCGCAAGCGTTCGCTAAAAGCAATTCATGAATCGATATTATATTCCTAAGTTAAGAATTTGTTTTCCAATACAATAGAAAATGATCTTTTTTGGGATCCAGGAAATTCTGTGATTATATCCGTTCATTGTATATCATGCGATTAGTTTTCGTTAATTACTATTCATATTTAATTTTAAAATTTAAAATAATTTCTGACCGTACGATGTACAATGAACAAACACAATCATAAAATCTTCCGAATCTCCAAGAAAAGAATCTAGTGAGGATCATTTTCCCAATACAATGAGTTGTATTAAGACTATACTAGACATCAAGTGTAAGGCTTAGGGCAAGGATCATCTATATATTTAAAGGAAAATTAATAAAAATAGTTTGAAAACTTTGAATTTTAAAGATAAGGACAAAATAAATAATAAAATGAATAGTAGTATAGTACCAGAATTGATTTTTTAGTGTAAAAATATAGTTTTTCGTTAAAATAAACAATACCAATAACTTTTTGTTAAAATTTTTTATATTTAAACCTTAGATACTTCTTAGATGTGGGATTTTCTTCGCATCATTCTTTTGCTTGTATCGAGCCGACTTTAATTACAACATAATTTTTTGTAGTCTTCGTAGTTTTTTGTAGCTCTTCATGTGCTTGCTTATTTTATGTTCATTTCCAATGAATAATAAACGAATTTTGTTCAGTTCGCAACATAAAAATAAATAAATAAAACTTTTTTTTTTAACTCACTATCGTATCATTGTAAGAAAAAAGATACTAATTTTGTTCATTTACTCAAACGAAAGATATCATGCACGTAAAGATTAGACCCTAAAAAAGGAGAAATCTTTCAATATGCCAGGAACACAACCCGATACACCAAGTATTATAATATAAGTGGTTAAAAATTCAAATTTTAAAGTATCAATCACTTGTATTATATAATACTTGGTGAGCTAAACTGCATTTCTAGCACATTGAAAATTTTCTCCTCAACAAAGCCAAAGGCAAAGAAATGACTCGTCAATTTCTTGAAAACAAAATTTTGCCTAATGGGGTGAATTCCATTCAAAGGGTCATAGTTTCTTCTTCTTCTTCTTTTCTAGATGATCTACAACACTCACAATATGCATGAAACGTGTTTGACTGACCAAATTATATTAAAATATATTTATCCAGCACTTACAAACAGTTAAAATCTTATCCACGGTTGCTTATTGTAACAGTGCCATTTCCTATGTGGTTCCTTTTCTTCCTTCAACACCCCATTCAAGCTTTGAACACAGCAAAAATATGTGCTGAAAAGTCTGCCGAACTTGTTAGTTGCAGCTAATTTTGACTTTAGAAAGATACTGTATTTTTTACGACGATTGTCACACTATCAAATAGTTTTACAAAATCAGGTGTTATAGTATGAGTTACCTACAAATGACATTAATGCTAGTTTGTATAAGCAAGGACTTTGACTTTGTAACAGTGATCACTTTGTAACCAAATCTTAATAATCAAGAAACTGCTCTCTGGACTGTGAAATGATCTAATTAGCTAGTGATTTCGATGCTTAATATTTAGCTAGAACCCTAAAATTCTAAACCCGAAATCCGACTTTTCTTTCGAGATTGCCTTGAAACAGGCTAACCCGTCCACCTAGTAACAAAATAAAAAGCCCAATCTAAAGACACAGATTTAAGCCCAATCCAAAGACTTGTCGTAGGGATATCTTAGCAAGGCATTCTTCCGTTTTTAAGAAGAGTAATTATAGGGAGACTACATATTTATAAGGTTGTGCTATTTAGCTTGTATTTTATAGTTGAGATCTTCATCTAATCCTCGGTTATTTTGTAAGATATATCTAAGATAACGAAAACATTCATTCTTTGGCACTTCCTAATCTCCAATCATCATCCTTATCTCATTTGGACCCTCATTCCCACTGAACTTGACTCCACATACTTTGTCTTTGATCTAAACAAAGACCTTTAACTTCCAACATTTCCCGCTCAAGGTTAAGCTTCGCATCTACTCCTTCTTGCGTTTCATCTATCAACATGATATCATCTGCAAAAAAGTATACATCGAGGAATATCATCTTGAACATGTTATGTTAACTCATCTATTATTAATGCAAAAAGGTAAAAGTTTAAAGTTGAGCCTTGATATAACCCTTTAGTTAT